CTGCCCTGGTTATTTGCAAATCCTAGGTAGTTATATTTTAATAATGCACAGGTTCTAAGATCTTTGTAATGGAAGAAATAAGCATCACTTCTTTTTTAAGTAATTAGAATAGCAGCTGCAGCCCTGTGGAAGTTCACTGCTTAATATCAGTATGTTTCTAAAGAGAAATGGGGGCTGGGACAAAAGTTTAATTTCAAAGTTAATTATATTAATACAACCCATAGTGTACAACTGATTGTTTATTCATGAAGAGTTTATATAGCAATGAGATTATGGGACCGCTATATTTTACCACTCTTTGTAGGACCCAACAAGAAAATAAAAGCCAATGTATCTGCTGAGGAAGACACCTCTTAGAAAGGAATAAAAGTGCGACTGGTATAAAGGATATTTCATTCAATCAGGAGGGAACCCGTGTGTCATGTCCATGTACATTGTGTTTTCTAAAATATTGTGTTAAAAATCACCAGACTGCCTTATAGCCACAAGCAGTGATTCTTATTTTAGCATCTCTTTGAAATGTCAAAGTGAATGAATTGATACACTTCAAGGTCTACAATATATATGTCATGGAATCTAGGACTGACTGTGTTTGAAGACTATGTGGTGATTATTGAGACGGACATGGTTATTCCTACACTATTATGAATGGCATGGTGTCCTGAAATAGAGAATGCAGTAAGGAATTATGAAGGCATCATGGAGAACAAGACTTGGTTGTCATTATATTCAAAATTTTAGTCTTTTATAGAATTCTAATCTTCATTTTATACTTTTCCACTGCCCATTATTCAGATAAGTTCAGTTAAAGAAAGTGCTCTTGTCAAAATTACTTGAAAAACTGTACCAGAGAGTCCTTTATTTTTGCTTCAGCAGATACGGTAATTGAGGTACAGTTTAAAGAGATATTAAAATTTGTCACTTAAAAAAATTGTGCAGTCTTTGTGACTAAATTTTTCTCTGAAATGCACATGAAACCAGCAAGTGATGATGCACCTTTATAGTCTGTCGGAACTGATTGTGCTAAGTTTAAATACCTCTACAATAGCAAGTAACAGTCCAGAAGCCAAGCAAAGGCAATAAAATTATCTGGTTCCCAAACTGAATCCCCAAATTGAAGGTAGTTATCATAACTGTGCTTAATAGGTGATTGTAATTCAAAAGACAAGGTTGCTATTATAAAGATACAAAAAAATATTCTCTGAGTCACTAGACAGTTCTTGACCAGTCTCAGTGAACTAAGATTACTATGAGTTTATAGGCTATTTTCTAATGATTATATTTGTCTTAGCTGGATCGTTAAAATGCAAATCCCTGTGGTTGAACCCATATTTATTCTTTTAATATGTTTAAACTCATCTCATTACTTTATAGTCTTTGCCTTGTCAGCATCAATGAATATTAATAGATTAAATGTAAGTTTATGCTGTATACATGGAAAGGCTTGCTTTACTAGTTCAGCATCAACTAGATGAGAAATACAGATGGTATGTGCTGACAAATTTTGAGAGGTTTTGCTCTTACCTCTGTTGCCAAGTACATGAAATCTGTCTTGGAATAAGAGACATGACCTCAAAGATTGTTAATGACTGACTGGCTTAAGGACTGTGGCACATTTTCAATCTAAGAGCTGCATTTTTAGAGTGCTCTAGTTGTTGTTAGGGACATCTACGAATATCAGTATTGCCAATTTCCTACTTTTAATATGAGGGTATTCTCTACTTTTAATATTGGCAATTCCCATATTCCCTGGAGTCCATTTCATGGAATGTACTTTATAGATGAGAAGAAAATTTAACTGCCAATAAAACATTCAGTCCTCTGAAGTGACTAGCAGGTTGAGGTATATCATGCTAAGAATAGACAAGTATATTTTTAAAAAATAGGATGTATAGTATGGAAGATAGATTTATCTTTCCCTTCAAATCACAACAACTTCAGTTACACAGAGTGCTAAAGTAGCCAACAATTTTTTTCTGCTAAACATGTTGGCCTACTTTTTCACATTTTCTTTCTAAAATTTCCATGGTCTTCCATACGATCCTGGGAATTCATAAACCTAAGGTATTCATATTTTAGGGATAAATAGTTTTTAAAGCATTTATAGTTCAAAATTAAGGTCAATGTTATTAGACTATATCCATAGAATAAGAATTAATTATAGAATAAAATAAGTAGTCATACAATCTTTTAAACACAGAAGCTGGGAGTTGGCTGGGCTCTGCAGGTTGAGTAATTGCCATTGAGTAACATGTGGAAAGGTTAGAGAAATTTTAAAGATCCTTGGCCTTGTTGCTTCTACAGTTTCTTTCTGGAATCTATTTTAAGTAGTAAAGAAAGTTCTAGATCCGCACTATAGATGAACTTCAATTCTAATGTTTGAGGAAGAAAGAAGTATGGCATATATATGTTAAGATACAAGGTTTCCTAAAAATTCATATACTATGGAACCATAAATTTCAATGATTGAGATACATAATAATAAGAAAAATTGCAATAAACTGCATGTACAAAAGTTACAAACTTTCTAATGTGGCTACTTTAAAACACTTCAGAAAATCTGTATTAGAATTCCAACTTGCATGTGGGTAATTAGTGTATAGGAACACATTTGAATTTTCTCACCATTAATAGTTTTTTGTTGGTTTGGATTTGAAATATTAGGATTTGACACAGGGCTTACTGAGACAACTACTACCTTGAAATGCTAATTGCAATGTAGTTTTCCAGTTTTAAACAATCTGTAAGAGTTCATTCCAGGGGACACATTTCTTTAAACAATTTGGAATCCGTCATACAAATATTGTCATTGTTGCCATATGAGTCACAACCATCAGAGTATTGTCTTAGTATTGTAAGACAATGATAAATATGTATACCCAAGCAAAGTATAATACTTTTAAGATAAGAGATTTCTATCATACCAATGCTCCTGCTGACAAGTTGTCTTGTGGCTAATATTTTTACGTTCCGAGTTTGAGGGATAAAAGAGACATTTTTTAATATTCTCAAATATGAAAACAAGCGATGTCTGTGAATTTCTTTGGGGGAAGAAGTTCATTACATTTCTGTTTGCTTCTGGCAGAATTCACTTAATTGAAACAATGATGGAGAACTTTTGAAATAAGATGTGTAAAGTACAGAAAAATGTATTCAAGTATTTCAGAGACATATTGAGACAATGTAGTTTATCATAACTTCCAACCACCCAGCTTATCCCCAGGGAACACAAGCAGCATATCTAGCTCTAATCTATCTTTAGTACAAGAATATACTCCCATGGTTTTGATTCATACACACCAAATGAAGAAGACTGTGTTCAACGTCCCGGCCCACTTACTCTGTAAATAAAGATAACACTTTCTTCCATTTGTGGCATTTGCATTTAATGACAAACATGATTTTTTTTTTCCCCTCATAGTGTTTTAACTTATTTATAAAGGAGGGCAGTTTGGTCCTCCACTAGAAAATTGCTGAATAAACATTATTTTTTCAGAAGTTATTTTTACAAACTACTATTGGGTAGACCAAAGTTCAATAACATTGAGAAACTTTAACATTAAATGGCAGTTCTTGCTTTTAGTTTGAGAGTGGTTAAAGTTCAGAAAATAATACCATTTGATTCAAAGACTGGCTTATTTTTTCCTCTTATATCTGAGTAAATTGTTTTCTTAATGTTTAAACCTTTCTCTGTCAATCATTTGGCACATTGAATTTCCATTTAGCAAATCTGACCAATCACTAAACGTATCTAAAAAGCATTCTAGAACTTTTTAAAAATAAAACAATACTGGTAAAAAATAATGCAAAAAATTGCCAAGCTGAAAAAGAATCAGAGTCTGGTGCAATTTCACCGAGAACTCTATCATATATTTGTACTTAATTATGCTGCATGAAATGAGTTAATGCCCCATTGCAGTTAAAATAATTCCATGGGGTTATTGATAAATTTTAAGTAAAAATTTTATTTAAAATTATTCACATCTACTGCATGACATATATATTGAAATCATTAATTCAGAAATATAAAAACAACCAATCCTCATTTTATAGAAATGACTTATTTATATAATTTAGAATTAAAATCTTCCCTCCTTACATTGGGAGCTAAGAGTTTGAACCCATATAACTTTGATGGGAAACTGTTCTTATTAAAAAAATCTTTCATAAATCCATTTTTGTTTTAATTAAATTCATTTTTATCAAAATGTAAATACTATAATCCCATTGAATTTTAAAGTCTCATTCTAAGCTAAAATATAAAAATCTTACTGAACTTTGTTCAATTATATCAAAACATTAAACATAATTATGTATAGACAATTAAGCAGCTATTAAAAATCTAACAAAACAAGGGTGCTGGCTTGCATTTTGTGGTATTTGGCAATAATTCAAAATACACAGCTATAACACTTATTTAAAAACAATGCTGTTGTTTTCAGTATTTCCATCTTCATTTATAGAGCTATAAAGTTAAGAAAAGTAGATTTTGTATATAGTATGATCTCTTAAGCCATTTGTTTTAAATTTCCAAAGAGGGAAATTTTGTGTTCTAAACAATTAAATTTAGTATGTAAATACTAAAATTTTTTAATTTTAATTTTATAATTTGAATTTTTTAGTAGTACATAACTTAATTTTTTGGTAGTACATAACTTAATTTTAATTTTATAATTTGAATTTTTCTTGGTATTACATAACTTGATCCCATAGTATTTGTATGTACAATCCTCAGTTACTGAGTTTACTACTGAATTAACTGATTACTTTTCTGTTCTGTAGCTACCGTACAAGAAAATATTTTAAAACCTCAAGCTACTGATATTTAAAACCTTCAACATTTCCACTTTTTCCATTTATAAAGTTAATTGTGCAGATTTTACTTTTGTAAGATTTAACGTCATTGAACTGAAAACCAAGAATTTCCAAAGTAGTTTTCACATGTACTATTACGTGATTTCATATAACAATACAAACACATTGACAATAATACTTCTACTTACATGATATACTGAGAAAGGACAGAAAATCTTAAATTAATATGAAATAGAATCCTCATAATATATATTTTTGTATTCATTAAAAGACTCTTAATCTGCCTTGTGACTTTGCATAGCATATCATAACAATACCTTCCCATATGCCATTTTAATATGATGGTCACACACACCTATACACATACCTATGGCAAGGAAACTTTCTTTTGAATTGATCATTTGCACTTGCATGCCCCCAGAGGCTTAATCTTGTTGCTGATGAATATCCTCATGCCTAAGAATTTTATAGATAACCCAGTAGAAAATATTAAAAATCAAAAAGGCTAATGGGAAACAGGCTCGAGAGATGGTATCAATCTTCTTGGCTCTGTCGATAAAAACCTTCCTCATTTCATCAGGACTTTTCGGCATTACCTGGGCAGGATGGTTTTGGCCCTTTGGGGTCACACCATCTTTTGCTTGCAGACATGGTCCCATTCCATAGGCTGTGAAGCTGAATCGACTTTCCCTTACCTCATCATCCTGTCATAAGAAAAACATGAGAAAACACTTTAGTCATGGAATAGAGCATGTATTTCAGAATCATAACTAAAACTTTATCATGAATAAATGTTACCATTATTGTAATGGAAAGATAACTGAAGCATATAAAGATTGAGTTGCTTTTTTTCCCATTCAAGTTTTGATTTATCCTGCTGCATCATATAAATGTGTCAATTCAGAAATACGAAACTCTCAACTAATGTGTTTTATTGGGACAACTACACATTCTGATATTGTCTACATATTGCCAGAATATCTAAATAAATTGAGCAAGAAAAAGAACCTATTGGGATATTATGTGTTATATATTCATATATTAGGTTTGTTTTACATTATGTGTTTAAATGGATAAATATACGATGTCAAAGGGGGATATATCAAGATCATTGACTGGATTTTTTCTTTTTCATAGAGGCAAACTTTAATGTTTATTTCCTATGATTTTTACATTACTTCACTGGAAAATACAGTACGACTCAAGAATACTGCTTGGTTTTTGTTATCCTCCCTTAATGTCATTTCTCTGCTTTATGCTAACCCATTTGGAAGACTATAAGATAGTCACATGTTCTAATTTATATGCAATTACTTTTCAGGTACATTGACTGAGTTGAAATTACGAATGAAATTTGGCAGAAGTTTATTTAATGTTAAATCAAATTGTTTAACTATGTTCCAAAACCTATTATTTAACTTATGTTACTTTTCTCATGAATGTTGTAAATTAAAGAATTCTCCATATACATATATACGTACACGAAAAGAAAACCAAAATTTAAAAGAAAAATGAAATATGATAAATGAAATGTGTTTGTGATAGGAAAATATGGTATTTAGGAGTTTATAATGAAATTCATTAACGAGTAATTTAATTAAATGCACTTATTTAGAATGTAACAATAGATGATTGCCAATTAATTAGTTTTTTTGCTACTAAAACTGAAAGTTTAAAAGATGACATTTTATAAAGTTGCTACAGCTCTCCCTTTATGAAAGTAATTTTTAATAGTAATATAGGAGACAAAAAGTAATTGGCTCAAACTCTTGAAAAATTATTTTGAGTCTGTGAAAGTAGAGGCTCAATGAACAGTATATTACAAAATATGAAAGTGAAAAATGGAAATTAAAATGGATTCTAAACATGAGAAGATGACCAAAGTTTATGTAATAATGTATAAAATAGTTTTTTGGGAATTATGGAGTAAGGCAATTCCACATGACCAAAACAAATAATTATTGGAAAATAGCTTAACCTTAGGATGTGTGAGCAATTGAATTTTGAGGAAACCAGTCTGAAATAAAAGCTAATGATCCTAATTACACATAACTACTGTTGTAATCTTATAAAAATTGGAAATTGATTTTTCACTACTGTTTAATAAAGATATTCATTTATACTGGCAATTTTTTAACTTCCATGGAAATTTTAAAGCTCAATTATTGTTTGCCTCGAATTTTCTATGTCTTGGAAAAAAGTGGATATACAAGAAATTAAACCGTTTGTATGTAAGTGCTAAAGTAACACCCTTATAGTTTAGGAAATCATGCTGGTGTTTGCATTCCAGAAAAAAAGGTATAGTTTGTTTGGATAATTTGTCTAATTCTGAGTGCAAGTCAGCTGAGTGCTGAAGTATAAAACAGCCTTTTAACCTATATTGACCCATGTGTTGGAAAAAAAAATCCATCTCAAAATAGCACAAAAAGTAATTTCTCAATGAACATTTATGATGAGGTGTTGACATATTAGTTGAACCATTAAGAGATAAATTACAAAAATACTAGAATTTTAGGATTCTAGCAACTGTGTTTTGTAAAGTAGGATTCACTTACTTTTGTCCCCCCTCCCCCCACACTGGTTTTACTAAGAAGCAACTGACCTATGTCACGGTATAAGTTTAAGGTGTACAGATGATGGTTTGATTTACATACATGGTGAAATGATTATCCCAACAGGTTTAGTTAATACCCATCATCTCCTATAGATAACGATAAAAGGAAAAGGAAAAAATCTCTTCTTGTGATGAGAACTCTTAGGATCTACTCCCTTAACAACTTTTCTGTAGATCATGCAGCAGCATTAGCTCTGGTGGTCATGTTGTATGTATGTTACAGTCCTAGTACTTAATTTATCTTTTTTTTTTTAAGATTTTATTTATTTATTTGCCAGAGAGAGAGAGAGGGGGAGATACAAGCAGGGGGAGTGGCAGGCAGAGGGAGAAGCAGGCTCCTTGCTTAGAGCCCGATGTGGGACTTGATCCTAGGACCCCAGGATCATGACCTGAGCCGAAAGCAAATGCTTAACCAACTGAGCCACCCAGGAGCCCCTTAATTTATCTTTTGACTGGAAGTTTGTATTTTTAACCTTCTACCCCCACTGACTACCTTTCTAACCATCTAATCTGAAGAATTTATTAGTTTGAAACCTTAGAGACCCCCAGTTGCTCATCTCAAAAAATCTTTTTAAGATTTAAGATATTCAGTGATCAGCGACATTATTTTCAACTGTATCTTTCCACATAAGTGCGAGTAGAGGGTTAACATCAGGCCTGGGCTGAGGAATGACTGCTGATTCTTTCCACAGCATTTCCTTGAAAACAATAGAGTTAAACTAAGTGAGGAACGTGGAGATGGCCACATTTACTGCACAGGGGTTGCTGTGTGGGGCCTACGTGACCAGAATGTATACAGGCTTGGTAAGAAATCAAGGCTGTGGCTTCTCTGTGTCGATGTGATATAATATAGGCCTTGACGTTTGTCTGAGGCAGTACCTCTCCATGGGCCTGTTGATGAGAACAAAAACAGCTGTTGTCTCAAGCAACTCCCTGCCTCCCGATAAGATGAAGATGCTGCATCTGATGGGTTGGCTGCCTCACATGCTCCCGTAGGACTGAGTAAACTTAATAATAGGTTATAAAGCCTGTTGTGTCTGGAGGGTTTGATTGGCAATCTTCGCCTCAAATTTCAGTGGTGGTGACGGAAGTTGACTGTGCTTTCAGATCATTTCAGGCTCAATATGGCCCAGAGTTCTAGGAGGGAGTTTGGTGAGGATGTGATCCTGATCCACCCTGGGATTGAGGTTGCCCAAGCTCTGCAGAAAATAACTGGGATAACTCTTGCTATTAGAATGTGGCTGACACAGAATTCTCCCTTGTTGAATTGGCAGATGGGTGATTAATGAAATAAAACTGAGGGAGACCAGGGTGAGGGAACTGAGGGGAAAGTGGCTCAAAATACAAGGAATTTCTTCTCTCCTATTTCACTGATTATCTATGAAACCTGAAACCACTTGGCAGAAAGAGAAATTAGAGTAAGTAGAGCAAGCAGCTTCATGGCCTTGGCTCAATATGAACATGAACGTCCACTTGGGACTTGGAAGGACACTGCATTTAATCCTGATGGTGCTTCTTGGCAACCCCAGGCAAGCAACACAGGAAACTCGTGAGTATCCTGTAGGCCTATCCAATAGAAATCTAATGTGAGCCACAGATGAAAACCATGTGTATAATTTTCAATTTAAATTTTACATTAGTTACATTTTAACAAGTTAAAAGAAAGAGGTGAAATTAATTTTAGTATTATATTTTCCTTAACTTAGTATGTCCTAAATGTGATTTAAACATTTCCTCAAAGTAAAAATTAAGGAGCTAGTTTACATTCTTTGTTTCCTACTAAGTCCTTGAAATCAGTGTATATTTGTAATATACCTCAGATCAGACTCTACATTTCCAGTGCTCCATAGCCATTTGTGGCTTATATCTACCATTTTGGAAAAAGCAATTCTAACATAAGGAAGCTGGGTCTTTTTACTGTGAAGTACCAGCCAATATCTGGGGAATCAGTGTTTCTAGGATCTTTAGGTTAATTGCCACAGGAATGAAAAAAAAAAAACAACAACATGAAAAGCAATGTTGACTGTGAATGCTAACTTCTAACTTGTTGCACTTACTGGCAGGCATGGAATCAGGGACCCTTTCGGGGAAAGCCTGGGGTGGTATGAGGCTGTGCTGAGAACCAGCTCCCTAGTTCTCTCACTGCTGTGAAATTGAACAGTCTTTTGGAAGAAGTAGTCAACCTCCGCTGGCCATACGATGAATAAAAATAAGCCTAGCCAAACCACATTCTCTGATCTCAACTCTGGTAGACACTCTGATTAGGGGAGTCCCCCAGGCATGGGTTTCCCATGTGGCTCTCCTTTTGGAAAGGCAGGAGGGTATGTATGAGTCATGGGGATGCTTGCTTTTATAGCTGCCATGCTGGGTTTCACTGATGGGAAAAACTATCTGGCCTATTCAAAAGAAAGAGCATGGCCAGAGGTAAATCCATTAAGTGACTTCTAAGACACGGAATGAAAATTGACAGGAGTCCTATGACAGATTTCCTGGTACGGTCTTGCCAGCTGGGAGGAAGGAAATCCGTTGCAGTTCCGGCAGCTGCTTCCCTGAAGGAGCCCTGTTAAATCTGCTGCTTTCGTCTCAGAAGTTAAATCAATGATGCCGATGGGGGGTGGAAACAAAAAGCACTGATAGAAGTTGCTGAGGTTACTCCATCCGTTAAGTCCGTTGAAACAAAGCCTGGCTTTGAAGGCCAGGCTCTCCTTGCCCAGTGCCGTGTGGGCTCTCCAGTGGGTGCTATCACCTTGGGCTAAATGCATAATTGGAAAGGATGGGACACGTGAATGAAGGACCTCGCCATTTCTGGCTTGAACTTAATCTTGGGCTTTCCAGTTGGAATTGGATGGATGTCCTAACACAGGAAGCCCTAAGAACCACCTCAACCTTCCCCTGTGGGAACTATTAAGCAGCACAAGATTCCAGGAAGGTAAATGAAACTCTTAGTTCTGATTAAGGAAATAATGGAAGCAGGGATGCTAGTCCTTCCTTAGTTTTCTCTAGAATAGCTCTATCTGGCTTATGATAAAGCCAAACGGGGCCTGCAGTCTGACTGCTGACCACTTGGGGTCACTAAAGAAGTCGCCCAAC